TTTCTATATCTTCTGGTGGTATCTGACAGGTCTTAGTCACAAGGAATGACTGTCAGTTCTTCCCTCACCATTTGAAAATAACTTCATGCCTGCACTCTCTAAGTCAACCAGTCTAGAACACTGGTAACCAGAATCCCCTTTAGACTTAGGGAGCTGGGACCCTGCTCTGGGCCCCACACTTTGGAAGATCTGTTTGGACTTCTCTGATTGCCTGCTTCCCCACTGGGCATAAAGCCAGCAGGGCAAAGCAGCATGTCTTTCCCTTGCAAACCACACCCTCAGGGTCCTGAACCTTGAGCCCTGAACAGTCTTTTTACTTTTAATCTGTAATCCTGTCCATTGTAATATCCTACATAAAAAAAGATCCTGAATGTCTTATTTCAACATAAAAACTAAACTATTTTTCTGGAGTACATTTGATCTGGGAAAGGGATAGAAATGTTGTTGGAGAAAAAAATAAAAGGGAGAAAAACATTATTTAGTCCTTTACTGTTAAGCAGGAGATGATTGCAAGAAATCATACTATACCTTAACATTTAATTTAAATAAATGTAAAGTCTTTCCACCTCTATATGGGCACATTAGGAAAGCATACTTGGAAAACAATTATTGGAGCCTTGAAAGATAAATAAGACATTTCTAGCAATATATTAGTAAGCTCAAAAGACAAAAATTTTTCTGTCTGCCAAGGAGCTTAATCTTCATTCTGTAAAATTTGCAAGTGTGTCAGTGCACGGTAGGATCAGAAACTCTTATAATTTTTGTAACAAAAATGTTTTAAATTCTAAATGTTAATAAACTTTAGATAGAGATTTCAAAAGCTACAGTAGTTCATGTTGCTTTAATGAAAATAATTTCAGAAGCAGGAACATATTTAATTGTAGATCATAATACGAGAATAGTTAATTATATTATATGAAGTGAATTTTCCATCATAATCACCTTACCATTACTACCCCAACACCAGCCACCACCATGGATATAAAACAAGCCTCTTCTTAAAGATTTTGGCTTCCGTTGGGGCACATATATACGGACAGGAATGTCATTAAATGTTGTATCTCTCACAGTTACATTTTCATCTGATGTTGGTGGAACATTTTGAAACCTTGAAAAGAACATCATGGATTCCATGAAGTGGTTTAATCCCAATATTTCAGCAAACAGGGTCTAAAATGAAACACAAATATACACAAACATTCTCAGCGTCAAAAATGTTTTGAACAAATAATTACATACTAACATTCAATGTGATCCTAAAGTCTTAATTATGTACTCTTAGAAATATCAGCCATGATACCACTGGAACATACAGAAATCCAAATGCTATATATATATATATATATGATGAACTACCATAAGTGACACTAATCTTTATTAAACATTGACCCGATGGGAATAGTAATATGGAATATATCTTTCTGCGCTAAACAGTGTGAATGCCCGGCAGAACAAGGCAAAATTCTGATTCTCAAAAAAATTAGAGCCAAATGAAAGACTTAAGTTATAAAAGGACACCCTTCTATCTATAAACAGGGGCAAAATTCTTTGGAACAGTTGTGAAGATGCTGGGGAAGGAAAAGGGTTTTTAGCTTGTAGTTGTCCTGAGGCTTGAAGGGGAAGTAGAGTTTGGCTGATCAACTGAGCAAAAGGCCTTTCAGTTAGAGTAAATGAGTTTAGCCTAGAGAAAAACAAAAATGTGATGACAGAGAACTACAAGTCATTTGCTATTCCAGATTCCATGAGCATAAATGAGAGGAAAGAGTCCTTAAGAATTTAATAAAATATACTCACATATATTAAAAATTTAAGAAACCCAGAAACTATCATTAGATACACTGATACATTCATTTTGGTTAAGATTAAGAATTTATGTTAAAAAAAATCTTATAATGCAATTGAAAAGATAAGCCACAATGTGAATAATGATACTTGCAATACTTTAAATAAGAAAATACTAGTATCTAGAATACAAACAAACTCATAAAAAATAAGAAACAGACTAACGATTTGATAGACAAAAGACTTTAATATTTGTTCTATGAAAGCCCTAGAATGACTGGGGCTCTGAGGAACAAAAATACCATTTTTTCAAGTATATAATTTAAAAGAAATGGTTTATATGACAAGATGGTGGAATAAGCACTATTTTAATCTCCCCTTATTTCTCCAAATTTTATTAAAATGATGGTAAAAGAGAAATCTTAATACAGTTATGTTAAGAAAGCAAAATACAGTCAGCCCTCTATAACTTAGGGTTTTGATCTGAGATTGGTTCAAACCACGTTTGCAAAACCCACTGATAGGAGGAATGATTGCATTTATTGTTCTGTACAATTTTATGTAAGATACCTGAGCATCCAAAGATTTTGGTATCTGAGGGGGCTCCTGCAACCAACCCCTGCCCCCTCTGATAATGAGACATAACTGTATGATCATAGATGCTTCTGAAAAAAAGGCTTATTATCAGGAATCATAATGACAAAAAGGTTAGTTCTCCAAGCAGACATAGCAATCCTAAAATGTGTATGTATACACTAATAGGGCTTCATAATACAGAAAATAAGAACTGAAAAAACTGAAAGGAGAAATAGAAATATCCAAAATTATCAGTTGGAAATTGGCACTCCTATCTCATTAATTGACAAAGTAAATAGGAAAATGGTAAGCATATAGAAAATTGGAAAAAAACTCTATCAACCCAACAGAATTAATCAACATATTGAGGACATTCCAATGACAGCAGAAATACACATTCTTTTCAACTGCATGTAGAACTTTCACAAAGATATGCCACATGAAAAAAAGAAAAGAGACATATCACATGACAAATTTGGGAAAGAAAATCTCAACAAGTTAGAAAGGATTAAAATCATACAGAGTATGTTCTCTGTCCATACTATAATTAAAATAAAAATCAGAAACATAATTATTTATGGGGAAATTAAACAACAAACTTTTAAATAACTCATTGGTCAAGGAAGAGATACATCTGGACAAATTGAAAAAAAAAATTTTGAACCAATTGAAAATGAAACCATAGCATAACAAAATTTGTAGAATGCAGATAAAGCACTGATTGGAAGAAAATTTATAGCTTTAAATAAATATATTAGAAGAGAAGAACGGTCTAAGGGAAGTGATCTAAGCTTCCTCCACTAAGAATTTATAGAGTTAGATAAGAAAATTAAACTCAAAAGTATGGAGGAAAGACTAAAGAGGGAAAAAATCCAAAAATCAATAAAAAGGAAAACAGATAAAGAGAACTAAAAAAGAACTAAAGATTGATTCTTTAAAAAGAAACCATACAATTGATCACCCTCTAATCAGACTAATCAGAAATAAAGAGATAATGTAATTTACCAATAACAGAAGTAAGTTAAAGGACACTATTTTAGATGCTCAGGCTGGTAGGCACAGTAGGCAGCAGTGTGTGTGCTCAGATCAAATGGCCTGACCACCTAGCAGGTGTGCAGTGTACAGCACGGTGGGACTGGCTGAGGCCAGGAACTGGGAGAAAGGAGAGGCTCTGCAAGGGTGCAGTATAGGGATCGTTATGGGAAGCTGACATGTCCATTCATCCTCAGATGCCACAAATATTAAATCTCTTGCTTAAGCACTGGGACAGGACAGTGTTTAACCAATTAAACTGTCATTAGATTATTACAAAATAAAAGTGTAAACATAGACATTGCAATTAAGAACAGCAGAAATTATTAGAATTCTTCAAATTATTTGATCTCTGGTTTTGAAAACTGCTACAACACTGCAAAGCAAATATCCACGGGCTCAGAAATTGAAAATAAATTTAAAGATTGCTGTGTTTGTTAGAAAAGACCACTACCGTCATATGAAGCTTTGGGTGAGTTAATGAGGAAGACATTTAAAAATTAATCTTCTTTTAAATTGAGCATAAAGCAACTAAACACATAAACAGGTATTTTGAATTATATGCGAACCATGAAGCTACTTTCAGTTTCTTATACAACCTCCCCAAATTATTGGTAATGTCAGAGGAAACATTAAAATTCCACTCTATAAATGTACATTTAAAGTTAAATTCAGACTTACATAAAACTGATTTGTATGAAGAATTAAATCTTTTAAGAAAAATTTTTATAAGAATCATCAGCTCTAGATTTACTGAAATTTATATTTTGAAATAATTGATCAGAAATGTATCACAATGTTGTCACAGCCTATAAAATACTCTTCATAGCTCTACTAACAGCTGCATTGGCAAAATAATTCCAGTGATGCACGAATGGTTCCATATCTGCAGGTCAATCAGTGTGATACACTACATTAACAAATTAAAGAATAAAAATCATATGATCATCTCAATAGATGCAGAAAAAGCTTTTGACAAGATTCAATATCCATTTATGATAAAAACTCTCAACAAAGTGGGTACAGAGGAATATATTTCAATGTAATAAAGGCCATATATGTCAAACCTACGGCCAATGTCATAATCAACATGAAGCATTTTCTCTAAGACCAGGAACAAGATAAAGATACCCACTCCCACTACTTTTATTCAAAATACTATTGGAAATACAAGCTATAGCAACCAGAAGAGAAAAGGAAATAAAAGGAATCCAAATTAGAACAGAAGAAATAAAGCTGTCACTGTATGCAGATGGCATATTATATAGAGAAAATTGTAAGGATGCCACCAAAAAACTATTAGAACTAATAAATGAATTCAGTAAAGTTGCAGGATACAAAATTAATAACCAGAAATCTACTGCAATTGTATACACTAACAGCCAATTATGAGGAGAAATTAAGAAAACAATTCAATTTACAATTGAGTAGAAAAGAATAAAATACCAAGAAATAAATCTAACAAAGGAGCTAAAAGACTTGTACTTGGAAAACTATAAGACATTGATGAAATAAATTGAAGATGATACAATCATATGGAAAGAGATATTGTGCTTATAGATTGCAAGAACTGATACTGGTATAAATGACCATACTCCCTAAGGCAACTTGCAGAATCAATGCAATCCTAATGGCACTTCTCACAGAACTAGAACAAAGAACTCTAAAATTTGTATGAAAACACAAAAGACCCAAAAGAGCCAAAACAATCCTGAGAAAGATGAACAAAGCTGGAGTCATCATGCCCCCTGATTTCAAAACACACTACAAAGCTATAGTAATCAAAACAGTATGATACTGGGGGAAAAAATCAGATGTATACATCAATGGAATAGAATAAGGAGCCTAGAAATAAACCCACACTTATATGGGCAATTAATTTATGACAAAGGAGGCAAGAATATACAATGGGGAGAAGATAGCCTCTTCAATAAATGGTATTGGGGAAACAAGAGCTACATGCAAGAGCTACATGCAAAATGTAAGACCTGAAACCATAAAACTCCTAAAAGAAAACACAGGCAGTATGCTCTTTGACATCAGTCTTATTAACAATATTTTTTGGATATGTCTATTCAGGCAAGGGAAACAAAAGCAAAAATAAATCAAGCTAAAAAGCTTTTCACACTGAAGGAATCTATCAGCAAGACAGAATGGGAGAAGACAGTTGCAAATGATATAACTAATAAAGGGTTAATATCCAAGATATGCAAAGATTATTAAAATTGTGATCTTGTATTTGTCAAAAGCAACTGATTTCACTTTCAATTACATGAATTGAAAATGAAGTTGCTAAAAGTATATTTTGTTTACCTAATAAATTTATAGAAAAGCAAGCCAGAAAAATCTTGTGATCAATCAAAACATTACATTAATAAAGTATTTATCATTCACTGTAATATGTAACTTACATCAAGCTTTTTTCTGAAATTTGTAACTTTATGTTATTATTCATGTGTCACTATTACCCCTATCATATTTCATGAGTAATAAAATGTCTTTAAGGGAAAAAGCTTTATGTTTTAATATCTTTGTGCTTTTTTCCCTACCTTTTGAACAAGGGTTCTTGCATTTTTATTTTGCACTGGACTCAACAAATTATATAGCCAGCTCTGATGTGTACTTTGATATACACATGTGGATGGTATCGGTGCACAGATCAGGGGCTAGACTAATATTTTGCTTCCATAATGGAGCATATATGCCAGTCCTTATCATGAACACCAGTGCACCTATAAAAACTGCAACAAAGCTGGCAATTACAAAGGTGAAGCCATCTGATACTTCCTTAGTCTCATGCAAGCATTCCCGACATGTCACACAATAGCAGCAGTATCACTCAGCTTAAAGGCTAACTGTGGGAAAGTTTCTGTTTCCTGAGCTTCTTAGCAGAATCTAAGGGCCCCCTGACTAATAGCTTAGTGCCTGTCGTGAAGTTAGCAGACAAATTGGCCCCTTCCCAGTTCATAGCTCTCTCCTGCTTTCCTTTATACAGGTGGTGCTCCTGCCAGTGAGAAATGCTGGGGGGCGGGGTTGCCTTCAATAAACTGTTTTAAATGTAATTGGCTATAGTAATGTGCTACATTGATTTACAGCAGGTTTGGTCACAGGTTAGCAAGTTGTTTTTCTACAGCAAAAAGTTAAATTTATTTGGTGGCCTTTTGTTACCCAATGTTCAATAACAGTACATTTCATAAATTATACTTTTGGGGGGTCAGATTATGTTATCTAGATGGAGCATATCAAATTTGTTGCCTTTCTATTCAACTAGAACTCCTCAGTGTCCATAATGTCAGAGACATCAAAACCTGACATTCTAAGTTTGTGAGCAGATTCCAGGATTCTTAGAAAGAAAAAAAGACATTTGTTCATAAGGGGAGATGAATTTGGCAAGAATCATACAAATCAAAACTAGAATATCTTCTCTAGCTCTTGAGAAGAGTCTTTATTTGTGCCTGGAAACACAATTAATCATTAACATCTATTAGAGTAAGACAAAATCTAGATTTTGGTTACCATTTACAATCTAAAATTATTTCCCTCAACAATTTGGGGACTTTTATCACAGCTGAAAATTTAGAATTCATAGGCATTCCCTGACTTGGTGAATATTTGTATAAATGCAAGTGAACCTTTAACTATATGAAAAAATCCTGATTTGGGTTCATGGTAGGCTCCTATGGCAGTTTTCTAGCTTTCTTGAGTATGGAACTCCTAGATTGCCAATTCTGCTCTCATTTTGGCCACCTGCTGTGCATTTTTTGGAATGTAGCCCTTTTGCACTGAATGCACCATCAACCTTTTTCTTAGAGCTCTATACTCTTCACTTCACCTACCTACGTCTGATGTATTTTGATAGATAATGTAGGTGGCTCCTTCTCAGAGGCCTGATTTGCATTCATCTTTTATACAAATCTCTAATCACTAGAGACTTTAAAAGAAATGAAGAAATGGTACTGGATAGTAAACTGGAGAAAGTAAAGTTCATTCTATACCTCTTATTTTTTGTTAATATAAATTTCAGTTGAGCAAGATTTGAATGTAAAAAGAAAAGTACTGGAAGAGACTATGGGTGAATTCTACTATAATCCTGGGGAAGGCCTTTCCAACTGCTTATCAAAGTCTAGAAGATATAATTTAAACACTGAGAAAATTATATTTCTTAAACAAAGAATAAAAAATACTTTATCATGGCCAATTTATTATATTCCTATCAAAAACTAACCGAAAACAGAATTTGCACTTCCTTTCACAAAGGCCTAATCCCTAGTATGGAAAGAAATAAGAAAGAACAAAAACCCCATTAAAAATTGGGATAATGCAGCTTTTCAGGTAGTTCAAAGAAAAGAAATACAAGTGGCCCTTAAACATGAAGGATTCTAGAACTTACTAAGAGAAACACAAAATAAAGTTGTACTAAGATACAGTTTATCATTTCTGTTGATAAAACAAAATTGAGAAAAATTACAATATACTTTGTTGAGAAGCTGACAGAACATGGAAATTTTCATACCTTTTTGGTAGGAGTGGGAAATTGTTATAGGGCAATTTTGCAGTAATTAGCAAAATTCCAACTGGCTCAACAATCCTGCTTCATAGATTTATCATAGACAAAACCCGGCCTCCAAGTGTTTTTTTAAGTATTATCATTTTATTGTTTGTGATAACAAAATGCTAAAAAGAACAAAAGTTTACACCTCAAGTAGTCCTTAAATGAACTATGGTTTGTTCATAATGAATCCCTTATAGCATGTAAAAGAATGAGGGGGCTTTATATGTGAAGACATGGAAACATCTATAGGACATACAATTAAATTAAAAATGTAAAAACCACAATAGAATATTTATGTTGCTTATGTAAGAATGAAAGGGGGATAAGAATTTATCTTTTTATTACTGTATTCATTATTATTGGTATTACTTGTACAAAGAATCCCCAGGATGAATGACAAGAAGCTAATAAAACTGGTGCTCTACAGAAGATGGGGCTGAGAATAGAAGGGATAAAGAAAGGAATAGGATCAGGATGTCTCGGTGCATACCTTTTTCATATTGTTTTGATTTTTGAATTATATGGATGTATTACTATTCAAAAAATAAAATTTATTTAAATTAATATTTTTTTTCAAAAATGGAATGAGCTATTTAAAATGGTAGTGAGCTCTCAATTCTTGGAAATATGTATGTTGAGATCAAAGATTTCTTCCAGTCAGCGCACTAGCATTTTTCAATCTCTAGCACCAAACAATCTTTGCTGATTACTGTTATATACATAATGGAGAGACAGAGAGAGATAGACAGTGAGAGGAGGTTAATTTTGTAGTGAGAGGGTTAGAGGAATAAACTGGGTCAGGGTCCCAGTGAAGTAGTCATAATAGAGATAATAGATCTAGTGGCAATAATCCATTGCCACTAACTACACCTCTCATGGTTTTTATTAGGCATTCGTAGTCAGCCAATCTATAGCATAAGAACCTACTTGCATGTCTATAGTATATACTCCAAATCCATTATTAATGTTTAAATGTCATAGTTAACTACAGAGTAGCTCAAACATATGCCTCCTGAGCTTTGTATGAAATTTTAAAATCACACAAGAGTAGAAAAAGTAAAATAAAAATTGTCACACACATATTTTTACTTTACTGCTACTAGAATAGATCATTTTAGAAATATAACCTGAATGTCTCCTTGATCATCTTGTTAGTCGTCTGCTTTGAGGTCATTCAGAGTTATAGTAATCAGCAAATTTGACAATAGGAAGCCAAGGCAAATGTAGAACTTGAAAAGACAAAACCAAACAAAACTAGAATCTTAGAAAACTTTCCTCTCTTGATGAATAAATGTTTTCACTTACCAGATGTGATGTCGTTTTTAAAAAAGCATTTAACAGCATAATTTTCCATGGTTCTTCAACATTGTCTGGGAGAGGTTCATAAATATAATTTGCTATGAGGAGTCCTAATATCAGGGAGCCAAAGAATTTTTTCCTCATATTGCAACTGTTCCGTTTCTTGAACAAGACAATATTATACCTCGTTTCAGTGCCTGAGACTAAATAGACAGGGGCAAACCCCACCCAGAATTACATCATTTCTGGCCCACAGAGTTTGCTCATTAGCACAACAGGTTATCACATGGCAGGCACTAAGGACTGGTGCTGCTGCTGAGAGCTCAAGTTTCAGTGTGCAGTTTATAAAAGCAAATACTCACATTCTGACCAGTCATGTCAAATCTGGAGACGTGTATGTTACTTCTCAAAGATTCTGAAAAATAGAGTAGAAGGACATTGCCCATAGAAGAGAGGAAAACAAAGGGATTCATTAAAAAGTTCTGCTGTATCTTTTATGATATATTTCTATTATCTTATTGAATCTTTAATAAAAGCTAAGTAATTATATGCAAATTGATTATCTTAAGTGCTATGCAGTGATTGGAGTAGTTCTGGAGTGAATAATGGAAAACTTTGTTGCACCAAGTATTAGATCTGCTAATACTTCTTTGGTAAACTGGGGAAGGATAAAGGACTTTGTAAAATAAAATACGCTGAAGCAGACTTTGTACATCCAATTTTTAAAGTGTATTTCTCAGTTTAATATATAACTTGCTCTTTCAAATCCTATTTTGGTTAATATATAACTTCAATTGGTATGTTATTAAACAACCCTACTGAATAATATCAGAAATGAAGATGTCCCATGCATGTCCTTAAGCTAATTCTGCTGACTTTAATGTAAAATTGTGTCTTCTTTGCCACTGTTCTACTTCCTAGAAAGCAAGAAAAAGAATTTGGATAATCACCTCTGCTGTGTTGTCAAGGGAATACCAACATAGAAGCTGGGTGGTATAAAAGGAAAAATTTTAAGTTACAGCTCTACATGCCCAGGAGAAAATAAAAATTTAATGCTGTGTTTCACTGCAACACTTCTACCACTAATTCTCTTAAAGAACCATGAATTTTAAGTAACTCTGACCTGAATTTAACTGGAGATTCTTTCCTAATGATCAAAGGGACTTATACACAGACATGGGGACTCATCAGTACTACCTGGAGAGTTAGTGTTCAATTCACAATTACCACAGCCATTGTCCTTTCACTCTTTAGTTCTTAAAAATATCTACTTTTCCTTCTCTAAAAAGACTCAGTGAATTTCTTGTCTGTTAATGGTACTCTGTCTGGCAATCAACTCAGCATTAAAACAAAACAATACAAATTTTCATATAGTCTTTGTCTTATTATTTGACAGTAGGGAAAAGGCATTGGACAGGATTAAATAGCAGTTTAAGGTCCAGGGGAGAACGTTCAAAGATCACCTATCCATTTCTCTCTCTCTCTCTCTCTCTGTATCTCTGTCTCTGTCTCTCTCATTCTCTCTCTTTCTCAACAGTTTCTTTCTTAAAATATATACTTTAGTTTTAAAAAACTAGGATGAAAATTAGTAATAAGTCATACTAATAGATATTAATAATAGAAATTATGGGCAATAATTCTCTTATCAAAAAGCAAAACTTTCTCAGATAAAAATGGGTATGTGAAAATTAAACTTCATCATTAAGAGACTTTCTTTCTTTCAATTTCTTGAGGAACCTCCATACTGTTTTCCAGTGGCAGTACCAGTGTACATTCCTACCAACAGTGTACCAGGGTTCTCTTTTCTCCACATCCTCACTAGGATCTGTCTTTTGTCTTTTTGAAAATAGCCATCTTAATAGGTGTGAGGTGATATCTCATTCTGGTTTTGATCCTGATGATTAGTGACACTGAATACTTTTTCATGTATCTGTTGGCTATTTTGATGTAAGAAATTTTCATATATTGAGATATGAGGAGGTCATCCTGGATTATATATGACTTGGCTTGAACTTTATGCCAACCAGAACAGCCTGTCATGGCCTGTCAAACATCCATTGTACATCTGCTTTAACCACTGAAAAAAAAAAGCGATTACCAGATTGTTTAGAACATCCACGTTGAAGATGGAGATAAATACTCTGCCATTCCTATGTGACTAATACTAGTACTCCTTTGAAGATGAGGTTTTCTCCCCAGACACCAAAATCATGCTGCTGACTCACTGTATACGTGCTATCCTGTCTCTTTTGAAAACTAGAAGGAATGTACGTTTGTCATGTTTGATATTTGTTCTTTGTTCTGACAAGATATAAAATGCATCCAAAAGGCATCTAAAATGGAGCCAGGTGGCCAGTGTGGTTGTGGTTCTAAACATATTCCTGTATCACTGAGAACTTCAATTGTCTGAATTATATAAAATTCAAAGACACCACCAGCCAGGCTCAAAATATTATCTGCTAGTGTTACCAAACCTGGATTTGGGTCTGCTCACCCAACATACAGCAAAGTCAATCTTCTGACACTGGATAGTGGTGAAGGAAAGTATAGCATTTATTGCAGGGCATCAAGCAAGGAGAATAGGCAGCTAGTGCTCAAAAGACCTGAACTCTTCGATGGCTTTGAGGGAAGAGTATTTAAAGGCAACATTAGGGGTGTGGATTGCAGGATGCCCGATAAGCTTGTGGACATTCTTCTGATTGGTTGGTGGTGAGGTAACGGGGGGGACGGCAGTAAGCATCATCATCCTTCTGGTATCAACCAGTCTGGGGTCTTTGTGCTTATGGTCAGCAGTTTCCATCTGTGGGAGTCTGATTTCTGTGAAAACAACTTAGGAATATGCATCAAACATTGTTATCAATGTTCTTCAGGGAGATGCTATCTCTGCTATACGGCCAGTTTATTGTTTAAAGTGTTATCAGTTTCTAAGCCCAATAGCTATTCTTTGTTGCTACATATTCACATTTTCCTAATCGTTAACTTTAGAGCCAGATGTTTGAGACTCAGAGGAGGCCTGAAGCAAAGCCTTTTACTTCAAGAGACAAGGAACACAGGGTGCTTGGATATCCAAGAGGGTCCCAGAGGGTCCTGCTCAGTTTCACTAGTATCTGTCAGCTGCAACCTTATGGTTTCAAGGTCTCCCCTTGTGACTATGCAATCATTTCAGACCCCAACCAATCCTTGCTTAACAAGTACCCTTATTTCTTGCCAGCCTCAATCCTAATTCTTGACAAAGAATTTATGTAACTTTGTGGGTTCTGTCTATATATGCCTTCTCCATTTTATAGTGTGGCAGTACACAATTCAAGTGCTTCTTGAATCTGTGCCTCCTGGGCTATATCCACAGTTTGGCTCAAGTAGAACTCTTCTACTCCTACTATAGATTGTTTATTAATTATTTCCAACAATTTGTATGTCTCCTTTGAAAAATGTCTATTCAGATCCTTTGCCCATTTTCAAAAGTGTTACTTGGGTTTTTGTTGTTGTTGTTGTTGTTGTTGCTGTTTGCTTTTGAGTTGTATGAGTTATTTGTATATTTGGATATTAACCCTTTATTGGATATGTCATTTGCAAATATTTTCTCCCATTCCATAGGCTGCCTTCTCATTTTATTAATGGTTTCTTTTGCTGCACAGTAGCTTTTTAGTTTGATATAGTCCCACTTGTTTATTATTCCTCTTGCTGTATTTGCTTTTGGTGCCAAATCCAAAAAATCATCACCAATGATTACCAAGACCAATGTCAAGAGATCTGTACTCCCGTGTTTACTGCGGTATCATTCACAGTAGCCAGGTATGGAAAAAACTGCTACCAAGCAAGGATTTGCTGACTAACGTGCATAAAAGCCAATAATACTATTGCACTGCTGTTTGAGGAAAGACATTTATTGCCAGGTTGAAGGACAAGGAGACAAGAGGCAGAGTTCAAATCTGTCTCCATGATTCAGGATTTGGATCAAAATTTAAGGGGCTAGGAGGAACAAGCTGGTATGCAGAAACGCTTGTGGGGTAGGTTTTGATAAAAGGGCTTTGGAACTCATCCATTTATGGCAAGGATACTAGACAGGCTTCAGCACTGGATCTTCCTGGAGAGTGGACCCTTTGCTTCTGAAAGGGTTCTGGAATTCAGTTCCAGTCATGTCCCAGTCCTCTGGTTTGGCTGGGGGTGGGGTTTGGTTCCAAGAGTTATTTGAGGTCAAAATTTTCTCCTCTGTGAATGCTCTGACTACATGATTAGTATTTTGGTTTTGTTGTCTTTGAAAAACAAGTCCGTATCTTGTTAGAAACAGGATAGGCCAGTTTGGGCTGGTTCTGTGGTTGTACAACCTGTGTCGGTCAACAAAGAAGTGGATCAAAAAAAATGTGAACCCCCCACACACATATATTCAGGCTTTACAAATGGAAATACTGTCACTTGCAACAACATGAATGAATCTGGAGGACATTATGTTGAGTAGAATAAGCCAGAAAGAAAAAGACAGATACTTACACGTAGAATTTTTTTTTAAGTCAAACTCATAGAAATACAGAATAGAGAATTCGTTTCCAGGGGCTTTCTTAACTGAAATATTACTATTTTAAATGCTGCTACTCTACACAACATAGGTTTTTTGCTAACGTTGTTCCTGTTTTTTGTTTCCTTATGACAGCTGCAACGTATTTTCACCAGTGCTCAAAAGACAACATTTTTTGATGCCCTTCTCTCCTGCTTCTTAAGGTTTTATTTCATAAGCGCACATGAGAGAGAAAGAGACAGAGACAGAGAGACAGAGAGAGAGGGCATAAAAGGCTTCTGTCACCTTCTGCAGCAGCTGCTGTTCTCCTCCCAAGATTATATACCACAGGGAAGCTTTTTCAGGATTCTCCCCAATCCTGTGTTTGTGTGTTTGTGTATGTATTTCTCTTCAAAATAGTGTCATTTTGACAGGTTATCTTCCTGATGAATTTTACTGCTTGAGCTGGAAGCCCTAGTAAATTCTATCTAACCAATCTCTAGGTTTTATTTACAGAATCCCAAGAAGAGAGGAACCCAGAAGCAATATGAAGTAAGAATGCTAAGATCAGTACTCTTTCAGCTGAAATTCTAGTGGGGTGCAGTCTTGCATTCATCACTTTGAGGCCAGTTCAATTTCAGTGTAATCAAATGTTTGCCATGTGCTAGAGATCAAGAGGCCAACAAGTTACAGAAAGATAAATAAACCCTCTTC